AAGGATTAGACATGTAAATAGCTTAAACCAGGGCTTGAGCATTACCAAGTGTGATAATCAGAGTTCAGTCTTGTTATTATTAATGTCTATGGGGAGGGGCTTAAAGAAAATATATGAACCTCATTATCTTATTCAAATCATATTTTGTGAGGCAGGTATCATCATTCTCATTTTGTAGATGAAAAAATTGAATCTCAAGTAGAACACCACTTAGGAAACAGCTGGGCCAGAATTTGTTTCCAGGTCTCTCTGATTCCAAAGCCCATACAACTGCACAGATGTATCACAATCAGGGCCAGTAAACACTGCTCAGTTATAAGTCCATTAGGGCAATTCTTCAAGGTCATACCATAGAGTTTCCAGCTCTGGACCCCAGTGGATAAGTTGGTACCCTTTCCTATGTTCCATGACACTTTGTACCTCTGTCATAATTCAATTAACTGAGTTAATTCAGTTAATTCACTCCCACAATTATGTTTGCTCATCTGGTACCCCCTATTACAGCATGAGCAACTTGAGATAAAGACTATTCTTTAAATATCTCTGTCACAGGACTTAGTACAATGCCTGGTATGTACTAGGCACTCTGTCTATTGATAATTGTCATAAATAATCGCCATGTGAATAAATGAAGGAATATTAAAAACTGGAGTATGAATAGATAAAAACCTACTAAGGTGGTTATTTGTTTGATGCAAAGAAAATGTAGGCATTCAGTTTTGAAAATAAATGGATGGCAATGAAATATTTAACAAAATCCATCAAGCATAAGAAATTAATACAGAGAGGCCCCATGGTGGAAATAAATATTTTCCTATTGCTTGGACCTCAAAAACATAATGAAATGTTATACATCATCTGTAAAGGTCCAGTTCACAAAAGCTTTTTTAACCTCAGCTGAAACTGAAATATGGTACAATTGCTTTAGAAAAAAACTGTAGCAAACAATATGATTGAAATGCCAAAAAAAAGGGAAAACAAAACAGAAAAAAAAAAGATTTTGCTCTTTGATGAAAGTAAATTTAACTAGAGAAAGATAAGGAAGAAAATGTTGACTCTTAAAGGTACTGAATGCATTTTCAATGGGTTTCAAAGTTCAAGGCACTGGTTCTTTATTCTCCCTAATTCCACATCAAAGTTTCTAGCTTTCATTCCCTTTACTATAGAGATATTGCCAGCAATACTTTTATACTGAAAAGTCTGGATTAGCCCCTTTTTTTCTCACAAGTGGAACAAAGAGAGGGAGACAAATCTTTCTAAGATAACTGGAAAAGAATTGGGGGAGAAAAAAGAACTGTGAGTTGCATCAGGAAGGTTAAAAGGGGAATAAATAAACTGGTCTGAAAGATAGTACCTGGTGTGAAATATGCTGACATGTGATCAGTGAAATGATCAGAAAATGGAGAGATGAGGCAAAAGCTTCATAATTCTTTTTTTAAAAAAAAAAGAAAAAGAAAAAGACGGCAAGAATGATAATGGCTCCCAGTAGTCTTCCATGCTTTTCAACAAATAATATCATTAGCCCAAGGAATTTGGTTGTTATTAAGAACAAACAGGAGGAGCAGATACCCTGCAGGGGAGGAAAGGAGGCATAGTATTTTCCATTTACATAAAAAGGTTAATCACAACTTGATTTTTAAGTTCATAGAAACTGAACTGATGTCTTCCATGTCTGTGAAGAGGAGAACACAAAGAATAATGTCAAATGGGTATTTAAATTTGCTGAAAATATAAGGAAGAAACTCCCTGACACAATACGCATACAAAGGCTATTGTACGGCAAACTGAGAAATCAACATGGAAAATGAAAAGCTAAGGGGGAACCACTCTTAACCCCTTATGTAAAAATTCAGTCACAGTTTAAAAAGATATAGATCAGGGCTTCCCTGGTGGCGCAGTGGTTGAGAGTCTGCCTGCCAATGCAGGGGACACTGGTTCGTGCCCTGGTCCGGGAAGATCCCTCATGCCGCAGAGCGGCTGGGCCCGTGAGCCATGGCCGCTGAGCCTGCGCGTTCGGAGCCTGTGCCCCGCAACGGGAGAGGCCACAACAGTGAGAGGCCCTCGTACCGCAAAAAAAAAAAAAAAAAAAAAAAAAAAAGATATAGATCAAATAATTAAGAATCCCAGAAAATCTTTGAAGCTCCCTAGATGAGTTTAGAAGAGTAAAAGCGATGCTTCCTGGTTAAACGAGTGAGAGACATTTTTTTCTGTGTCCTGGATAACTCTGCCTCTGTCCCCACCCACCTCTCGCTCTCTCCCCACACCCCCCACTCTCTCTTTCACACACACATACTTGCTCAAGAAGATCAATGTAAACATCACTGTCAGCACCAAGGACAGCAGCCCTCACTTTGAAATCGGTGTCAGTAACCACATTTAAAAACCAGGTATGCTAGGGACTTCCCTGGCAGTCCAGTGGTTAAGAATTCTCCTTCCAATGCAGGGGGTGTGGGTTCAATCCGTGGCCGGGGAGCTAAGATCTCACATGCCTCAGGGCCAAAAAACCAAAACATAAATCAAAAGCAATATTGTAACAAATTCAAGAAGGCTTTAAAAATGGTCCACATCAAAGAAAAAAAAAATCTTAAAAAAAAAAACGGGTATACCGATCTCAGGAGCTCATCTGAATTCAGATTAGAAGTGCTCGGAGTTTAGCTCAGAATTGCAAGCACCTGACTTATAATACTACTTTTCCTTTCAGAATATGATTATCTGTATTTATTAAAACAGTGGACATTTTACTACGTTCTCAGAGTAAATCATGGACAAAACTGAGGATCAGAGTCTACTAGAGGTGGAAATATCCTTCAGGAGTCTTCAACCCAACTTCTCCTTTGTAGAGGTCAAAAGAATGAGCACAAGAAGTCATGCAGATGGTTTCTAAACAGACTTTAGTCTGGATATTATAGAAATGGTAATGTTTCTACATATTTAAAAAATAAACAAAATTGAAGGGGGGTTTCAAGTTCATATTACTTGAAGACTTAGAGTTTTTATTCAACCAGACTCCAATAATCATTTGTCACATGAAAAATGCCAAATCAAAAATTTTAAATCTTGCCCTTGACCCTAACATGATATCATTTCTCCACACCTCATCTGCTACATGCTAAATGTTTCAAAAATATGACTGCAGTTTAATTTTTTTGTCACAAAGAAGATTACATTACTTGAATTTCCCCTAGATACACATTTAGTGCAAATGTATCTAAGAAATTAGTGTGTTCATATTCAATTCAGGCATTACTTCTTTCAGGAAACCAAGCACTTGAAGTCTGGGCTATACGTCCCTCCTCCTCACTGCATAGTAACCTGTGCCTATCTATAATAGTGCATTTATCTCATTATATCAAAATTATCCTTTTAGGTGTCTGCCCTCTAGTTCTATGAGTAACTTAAGGATAGGTGCAAAGGCCTCCCCATCCATTCTCTGTGTTCTCAAAATGCATTGCATGAAAGACATTGTACTATGTACTGGAGCTGTAACTATGACTAAAACGTTATTCCTAACCTTGGAAAGTTTAAAATTAAATAAGTGAGAGACAGACAGAAGGAACTTATTATACTGTGTCTTAAGAGAGAGCAAAATAGACTCTGGTGTCTTACAGATCAGGGTTTAAATCTTAGTTCTGCTATTCTAAACACCTGGGGAAATTAATTAAATGTAGCTGAAAATGAGATGATGGCAGTAATAACTACTACTTAGAGTTGTTTTAAAGATTAAATAATGATAAGTGAAAAACTATTCTTTGCCATCGTAAATGCTAAATAAGTATGAGAATATGCACATAGCTATAATATTGATGGTGTGTGCACAAGACACAAAACAAAGGGTAGGAGTGCATAGATTTGTTATATTTTAATCAAAGACTTAACTACTCTAGAGAGATGTAAGGAGTGACAAATGTACTAGTGAGTGATAAAATAAATCATTTAACCCACAAGAGATGGTTACTTGATTAAGCTAATGGTGCTGCAGCAGTGTAGAAGGAAAGTTATGGTAAGCTCCCCAAAGGAAGTGGCATTTCAATGAAGGTAGGAAAGATGAGTAGGCATTGACCACATGCAGAGGGGCAGAAGGTAATCCAGGTTGAGGGAACACTTTTTGCAAAGACCTAGAGATAAGAAAGCACATGGTGCTTTCAGGTAATTGCAAGTAGTTCTGTGTAACTGTGCTCAGTTAAACATGCCTCAGAGGCGTGATGAGGGGTGGCCAAAGATGAGGTGGGCAAGCAGTAGCAGGCTCATCAGAATCTCAGGTGTCCTGCCAAAGAGCTAGGACTGTATCCTGAGGGCAACTGATAACAACTAAAGAATTTAATTCATGGAAGTAATGTGATAGAATTTACATTTTAGAAAGATGACTCAATCTGCATTTTGAAGAGCAAGTTGGGAAAAGTGTAATGGTGAAGTGGTGAGACCAGAAACAAGATCCCTGACTAAGAGACTAGTGCAGTAATCTGGGAAATAGCTAAAAGTGGCCTAAATATTTTGTATCCCCAGTGCTTAGCACACAGTGTCTGACACCAAATGGGATCCTAATAAACTTTTGTGGAACTAACTGAATAGTAGGAAAAGGACTTAACATGCCATAGTAGGAAAGAAGCAGTATGTCTCCTGGCTACATAGAGTCATCTATATCTATTCCTCACTTCTGCATCTTACGCAGTCCCATATAAAAAAAAAAGTTTTGGGAGCCCTTTATGAGGGGAAGGTAAGGAGATAAAATAAGAGAGGTGTGATCACAAAGTGTAATCACTTTATATTTCACAGTTAGGATTAACACCCATGTTTATGCTAATTGTGATGTCAGGTTTTATATGTGCTTACAACTGACACTTCTTGGGCCATGATTTGACTTAAAATCTGTCCCGATCCATTAAATAGCAGAAGATACTAGTATGTATAAGTCTATTTATTTATACCAACGCAATGCATTTCTATCTCCATATTTGTACATCACCCCTAATTTAAAAAGAAAAAGTTGCAATAAAACTTACCAGTAATGTAAATCCTCTGTCTTTTTCATGGTGTCTATTTCTGGCTCCTTAAATCTTCTTTTTCCTTCAGTGTTCAGTTTGTTCAGATTGGTGCTTGACATGGGATTCTCAATGCTCATGACCACAGCCAAATACATCTACATAGGCCATCCCCTCCTTGTCGAATCTATTATAATTCCAAAGGGCCCTGTGACTTCTGTGGCTTCCCAAAGGCTCTGTGTGTCTAATTCCTCCTGACCCCCCATTTCTTGGCACCTGTGTTGGAACAGGTGTGAGCAGACACAAGCAGGTCCATGGAGCCCACAGTTCAGTGCTGGCACATGATAAGGGTTATCTTCCTGCAGGAGATGGCTGTGACATGTTTTCCAGGGTGCCAACTTCCAATTAGTGTCATCTTTTGCTCCACATCCTAGGGCAAATGTCCAGTTTATTGTGAGCAGACTCAGGCTGTTCTGAGAGATGGCACTAATTCCAGAAAAGAGATGCGTTTCAGATTTTTCTCCATAGTCAAGGAAGACTGGTCTATCAACTGAAGACATGGTCGCTGCTTTCCAGTGCAAGGTCAGCCCCTTGTTCGTGACCTGGGATGCTAATTTATTTTCCAACAATGAAGCCAAATGTGGTCCAGATGTTGAGCTATGAAGCAATTGAAATTGCTGCAAGCACATGAGAAAAAGAAATCTCACAGCTAAGACCTAAAAATTGTCCTTGGGAGACCATTTGTACTAAGGCAGTGAGTGTGTTGATGTAGACAATGAGGCAAAATCTTTTGTCAGCCAGACCCAGAATGGTCTTTTAACAGCTACCCCATTGTTAACAAAAAACAAAAATTCTTATAATAACTTTCTTAAAGACCATAGGTTTCTCTATAGCTAATGTGGGGGGGGGGTGGGGAAAAGCAGGGGATAGGAGGTGAATCCCTATAAGCCTATGTTCACAAGATGCCACACTCGGTTGGGTCAAGTCAATGTCAAATATGTTAAAAGATAATTGGATCAGGTCAACTACATTTTGTTTTGTTGTTGTTTGTTTGATTTTACTGAATGAATGGGGTAGGCAATCATTAAAGGGTGACCCTGTGTAGGCAGAGAGCCTTCACAAAGCCTTCTGTTTAAAACTGCTGGCAATCTGGCATGCACACCTGACACATAAATTTGGTAGAAGAACCTAATCCAGGGACAAGCAAAGACACTCTTGCCTGCTCCGTTCTCTTACATGGGCCTGGCCCACAAACACAGAAGCCCAACCTCAGGCAACAACTGCTTGACTCCTTTTTAGTGCAGACCACTGGCCGGCTTTGGTCTACTCTTCCGTGTCCTCACTCTGACTCTAATGACACTTTATACACTTATTCATCATTAACCCTTGGAGAACTGCCTCATAAATTTTTACTCACGTTATGGTTGTACATACCAAAAGCTATGAATCAGAGACATGCTTCAGCATTTTCCCCAGTCCTTAGGTACCAAAACAGCCAGGCTATCGTCCTGCTTTGCCTTCTCCAGTGCAAGAGAAAAAATGGCCATTAACAATCAACTCTTGCTGACTAATTTTCAAAGACTAATTTTAGATATGGAGTCACTTCAGGTGTTAAACTATCTGGCAACTCTTCTCCCTTTTCAGTCCCACCTAAAATATCATCTGAATTTACTCTCTTTCAACAACAACAAAAATAAAGTTAAAACATGAGAACAAGAGTTTTATGTGTGAAGCACTATGGGGTAGCAGAAGAGACAGGGGCTTTGTAACTAGACAGGCTTGATTCTGAAGTCCACTTTCCATTGCACACTTGCCTGCTATGAGAACTTAGGCAAGGCACTTGAACTCCTCCTACTTCCATTTCCTCATCTGTAAAAATGAAGATTAAATGAAATAAGGCATATAGGGATATTAAGCAGAGACTCTGGGATATAGAATCACTCATTTTTTTTTCCTTTTTAAATTATTAATGAGGAAGCTGAGTTCCCAAGCAGTGATACTAGCACATCTATTCCATAGCAGTTCTACTCAAATATAAGCCCTTGTTATAACCTGAATGTGGCAGATTATATTTTCCAAAACTGGCCACAGAAATATTTCCAGTCCCACCAGCTCTTCCAGCACTTGCCACACCCCCATCAATTTTCCTTTCCCCTTGAACTGGGCAGACCTTTATGACTTTCTTGACAAATAGAATGTGGTGAGAGAGACTCTGCACAACTTCCAAGATTAGCTCGTAAAAGCAACACAGCTTCCTCCTGGCTCCCTCAATCTAGATGCTTGCCCTGGAAACCCAGCCACCATGTTGTAAGGAGGCTCAGGACACATGAAAATGCCACCTACAGAGGTTCCAGCTGGCAGTTCCAGCTTAAGTTCCAGCTAACAGCAAACATCAACTGCCAAGTACATGAGTCAACAAGGCTTCAGATGATTCCAACCCCCAGCCTTTGAGCTGCCTTAGCCGATGCTGAGCGGGGTAGAGATGACTGCCTGACAGATTCCGACCCAAATTGCAGACTTGTGAGAAAAATATATGCTGTTTTCTTAAGCCACAAAATTTGGGGGTGGGTTGTTACAAAAGAGATAACTAGATCAGGGAACCTCATTATTAAATGCACTGCTATTAAGTTTAGAGTCAGAAAAGAATTTTCAAACTACATCATCTGAGATTCTTGGAATATAAAACTGAAACATATCCTCAAAATCTTCCCAATCCATCTTCCTTACTTTGTAAAAATTTGAGGACCCGAGATATTTCATGTCTTGCTTGAGATCCTATCTATGCCAACTGTTAGGGGTGTGGCCGAAACCAAGTCCAATTCAATACTGCGGTTTCCACAATATGACAACAAGTACCAAGCAAGTTTGTTAGGTTCAAGGTTCAAGGGATCAATTTCGGGCAAATATTCTCCAAGCCTACCAGAGTTCAGTATAATGTTTCTATGCCCCTCTGTGCTTCTTCCTTCCTTCCTGCTTAGCAGAGAGCCTGATCTGAGCTTGGTTGGTTTACTGAGTAAGACTGGGAGGCCGGATGGGATCCAACAGGCTCAAGAGAGCTAACAAGAATTTTTTTAAAAGTATCAAACCATGAAATCAGCAGATGTGACTTGAAGCAAGGAGGAGAGAGGGCCAATGTGCTGAATGTGAGGCTGCTGTTTTTCTACAGTCACTTTTCTGAGAATAAATGCTTAGATATTCTATTACACTGATCAGATGGTTTGGCAGAAGCCGGCATTTGGCAGTCAGAGAGTTTTCCACATGATGATTTTATCTTAATAGGAGCTAATCTATTATAATAGCCTCACATACACATATAGCCCATCAATTAGACAACACTGTGTCACATAATTGATTGCAGACTCTTCAGTCATTGAAGTGGTGGTAGAGTATACGAGTCAGCATGTTGACATGAAGATCTGTCTTTCTTCATTGCCAGTAGACATGCAAACTGTGTAAACTGGCTAGCAAACTTTGTTTCTTGAGACTAAAGTGTTCTTCCACTCCCATTCTACATGAAAGTCAAGCTGGGACTAAATGCTATCCATCAAAATAGCTCAAGCATTCTTATGGAATGGATACACGAATGTGATATGTACACAAGTCTAAACGTTTACTGAAAACAATAAAGGAGAAAATTGGAATGAGAAGGAAAAGGAAGAAAGGCGAAAAAGAGAGCAGAAGAAAGGATTAGAGGATTAAGCTAACTACACTCATTATTGTTGTTCTGTGCCTTTCTCTTATTCCAAAAGGCACACCTCAATAAAGAATAATATAGGGGAAGACGGCAGAAGACTAAGACATGGATATTACCTTCTTCCCCACAGATACATCAGAAATACATCTACATGTGGAACTGCTCCTATAGAACACCCACTGAACGCTGGCAGAAGACCTCAGACCTCCCAAAAGGCAAGAAACTCCCCACGTACCTGGGTAGGGCAAAAGGAAAAACAGAGACAAAAGAATAGGGATGGGACCTGCACCAGTGGGAGGGAGCTGTGAAGGAGGAAAGGTTTCCACACACTAGAAGCCCCTTCGCCGGCGGAGACTGCGGGTGGCGGAGGGGGGAGCTTCCGACCCGCGGAGGAGAGCGCAGCCACAGGGGTGCAGAGGGCAAAGCGGAGAAATTCCCACACAGAGGATCGGTGCCGACCGGCACTCACCAGCCCGAGAGGCTTGTCTGCTCAACCGCGTGGGGTGGGCGGGGCTGGGAGCTGAGGCTCGGGCTTCGGAGGTCGGATCGCAGGGAGAGGACTGGGGTTGGCAGCGTGAACACAGCCTGAAGGGGTTAGTGCACCATGGCTAGCCGGGAAGGAGTCCGGGAAAAAGTCTGGAGCTGCCAAAGAGGCAAGAGACTTTTTCTGGCCTCTTTGTTTCCTAGTGCGCAAGGAGAGAGGATTAAGAGCACTGCTTAAAGGCGCTCCAGAGATGGGCGTGAGCTGCGGCTATCAGCGCAGACCCCAGAGACGGGCATGAGACGCTAAGGCTGCTGCTGCCGCCACCAAGAAGCCTGTGTGAGAGCACAGGTCACTATCCACAACTCCCTTCTGGGGCACCTGTGCAGCCTGCCACTGCCAGGGTCCCAGGATCCAGGGGCAACTTCTCCGGGAGAACACATGGCACCTCAGGCTGGTGCAACGTCACGATGGCCTAAGATGCTGCAGGCTCGACCCGCATCCATACCCCTCCCTCCCCCAGCCTGAGTGAGCCAGAGCCCCCAAATCAGCTGCCTCTTTAACCCCGTCCTGTCTGAGTGAAGAACAGACGCCCTCAGGTGACCTACACGCAGAGGCAGGGCCAAATCCAAAGCTGAGCCCATGGGAGCTGTGTGAACAAAGAAGAGAAAGGGAAATCTCTCCCAGCAGCCTCAGGAGCAGTGGATTAAATCTCCACAATCAACTTGATGTACCCTGCATCTGTGGAATACCTGAATAGACAACGAATCATCCCAAATTGAGGAGGTAGACTTTGAGAGCAAGATATATTACTTTTTCCCCTTTTCCTCTTTTTGTGAGAGTGTATGTGTATGCTTCTGTGTGAGATTTTGTCTATATAGCTTTGCTTTCACCATTTGTCCTAGGGTTCTGTCCGTTTTTTTGTTTTGTTATGTTTTGTTACTTAAAAAATTTTTTTCCTTATAATTATTTTTTATTTTAGTAACTTTATTTTATTTTATCTTACTTTATTTTATCCTCTTCCTTCCTTCCTTCCTTCCTTCCTTCCTTCCTTCCTTTCTTCCTTTCTTCCTTTCTACCTTTTCTCACTTTTATTCTGAGTCATGTGGATGAAAGGCTCTTGCTGCTCCAGCCAGGATTCAGGGCTGTGCCACTGAGGTGGGAGAGCCAACTTCAGGACACTGGTCCACAAGAGACCTCTCAGCTACACGTAATATCAAATGGCAAAAATCTCCCAGAGAGCTCCATTTCAACACCAACACCCAGCTTCACTTAACGACCAGCAAGCTACAGTGCTGGACACCCTATGCCAAACAACTAGCAAGACAGGAACACAATGCTACCCATGAGCAGAGAGTCTGCCTAAAATCATAATAAGCCCACAGACACACCAAAACACACCACCAGATGTGGACTTGCCCACCAGAAAGACAAGATCCAGCCTCATCCACAAGAACACAGGCAATAGTCTCCTCCACCAGGAAGCCTACACAACCCACGGAATCAACTTTAGCCACTGGGGACAGAAACCAAAAACAACAGGAACTACGAATCTGCAGCCTGCAAAAATGAGACCCCAAACACAGTAAGATAAGCAAAATGAGAAGACAGAAGAACACACAGCACATGAAGGAGCAAGGTAAAAATGCACCCAGACCTAACAAATGAAGAGGAAATAGGCAGTCTACCTGAAAAAGAATTCAGAATAATGATAGTAAAGATGATCCAAAATCTGGGAAACAGGACAGAGACAATGCAAGAAACATTTAACAAGGACCTAGAAGAACTAAAGAGGAAACAAGCAACGAAGAACAACACAATAAATGAAATTAAAAATACTCTAGAAGGGATCAACAGCAGAAAAACTGAGGCAGAAGAACAGATAAGTGACCTGGAAGATAAAATAGTGGAAATAACTACTGCATAGAAGAATAAAGAAAAAAGATTGAAAAGAACTGAGGACAGTCTCAGAGACCTCTGAGACAACATTAAACGTAACAACATTTGAGTTACAGGGGTCCCAGAAGAAGAAGAGGACTGAGAAAAGGACTGAGAAAGGGACTGAGAAAATAATTAAAGAGATTATAGTTGAAAACTTCCCTAACATGGGAAAGGAAATAATTAATCAAGTCCAGGAAGCACAGAGAGTCCCAAACAAGATAAATCCAAGGAGAAACATGCCAAGACACATATTAATCAAACTATCAAAAATTAAATACAAAGAAAACATATTAAAAGAAGCAAGGGAAAAACAACAAATAACACACAAGGGAATCCCCATAAGGTTAACAGCTGATCTTTCAGCAGAAATTCTGCAAGCCAGAAGGGCGTGGCAGGACATATTT